TGTCCTCTCTTGGCGCTCCCCCCCCCCCCCCCCCACCGGTGCAATCTCCCTGACCAGAGGGAAGAATTAAAGTGGACCTGTCATAAGATATAGTTCTTCATGTTTGGTGAAGCATGCTCAGTACTGCGTCAGTGTGACCGCTCCAGGTATTATTACCTCTCGCAGAGATCACATGACTCCCCCTGACAATGCCTTCATTTGCTTTTCTCTCCAGAAGGACAGCGCCATCTTTGTTCAACCCTCACCCAGGGTTACCATCTACTTCCTGGACTGAGATGCCGACACAGCCATGTAAATCCCGGTGGCTGTGTTGTCCGTGGCTGTGATCACACATGTCAGGCACAGATCAGCCCCCTGCTGCAGACTCTCACCTTGTGACTGGATACAAAGTTACAATGTTGCAGACTGATCACTGGGGGAGGGGGAGACTGAGGAAATGCTTCCTCCTGCCTGCAGCACACTGATCACTGGGGGAGGGGAGACTGAGGAAATGCTTCCTCCTGCCTGCAGCTGACTGATCACTGGGGGAGGGGAGACTGAGGAAATGCTTCCTCCTACCTGCAGCACACTGATCACTGGGGGAGGGGAGACTGCGGAAATGCTTCCTCCTCCCTGCAGCTGATTGATCACTGGGGGAGGGGAGACTGAGGAAATGCTTCCTTATGCCTGCAGCTGACTGATCACTGGGGGAGGGGAGACTGAGGAAATGCTTCCTCCTGCCTGCAGCAGACTGATCACTGGGGGAGGGAGACTGAGGAAATGCTTCCTCGTGTCTGCAGCTGAGTGATCACTGGGGAGGGGAGTGATGGGAATATTAGTTTGCTCCAGAAATGCCGCGGATGCCTTGTTAATACCTCCACCGGGCAAGTGATGACGCCACACACTTTGCACGGGTAACACTCTCATGTCTGAAAGTACCGGGGACAGGAAGTGACGGCCCAAATTAAAACCAGTCCCGGAGTTCGGTTTTAATGACCGTGTGACCGCGTCTCCTCTGCGCGACCCATTTTCAGGCGCTTTAATGCGTATTTTAGGCTTTGCGGATCTCCGACGTCGCAGAATGAAGCGTTTTCTACCACAAACGTTCCGTCTCTATACGAGACCTCAGAGGGTGACGGAAATAGAAGAAGATGACAATCAGAAAAGCGCGCGTCCTCATCTGCGAACGACACCATGCTCAGCGCCTACATTTACACACTGCAAGGGGCATCCATGGCGCAGGCGCCCCCCCACAAACCCCCTCACCCCCCCCTCCACGGGCACACGGCCCGACAATGGGCTCAATAATGATAATACTAATAACAATGTGTTACTCTTACCAACCATAACGCTGATCTCCAGACAGATACACATATATATAGAAATTGTAACTCTGTCCATCCAGTCCTGAGGTGTACACAGCTCTGCCACACAGCAAGCCCTCTAAAGCAACAGAGGAGACCTGATTTTTTTCAGCTGCAGTTCACTAACACTTATTGGGTCTTGTCCCTCCCCCCAGCCTGTGATTGGACAATGAAACAACAGAATGATGAGCTCATTGCCACCTACATTGATGGTCATGGGACTATTGCCCCCTTATATTGATGGTCATGGGACTATTGGCCCCTTACATTAATGTTCATGGGACTATTGGCCCCTTATATTGATGGTCATGGGACTATTGGCCCCTTACATTGATGTTCATGGGACTATTGCCCCCTTATATTGATGTTCATGGGACTATTGCCCCCTTATATTGATGTTCATGGGACTATTGCCCCCTTATATTGATGGTCATGGGACTATTGCCCCCTTATATTGATGGTCATGGGACTATTGCCCCCTTATATTGATGGTCATGGGACTATTGCCCCCTTATATTGATGGTCATAGGAACACGAATCCATCAATGTTCACTTGTCACGGAACCCCCGAAGGTGCCCCAAGATTCCCCGGAACAATGGCTGAGAAAGGAAGCGTCAGAGTCCGCAGAAGACGACGTACGCACATCGCGCACACGTAAAACAGAGGGATCCGCCATTAGAAAAGGGGCGGGGCTCCGCTCTGGACCTGATGAACAAAAAGGGACAGGACAGGCGGAGGCACCGACGGAGACTTACCCTGGAGCAGCGCACCATTCTTCTTGAAGAGACCGCTTCCTGGCCAGAGGGGAGGGACCGATGTGCTGCGGGGAGAAAACAGAAAGGAGAGATCAGCAAAGATACAAAGTACACGGCCAACAATTCTACTGAATGAGACAATCAGGCTGCCGGTCCCCCCAGACCTACAAAGTGACATATCACTCTACTGGACACACAGGCAGGTAGGAGAGGGCGGAGCCAGGCCCGACTTTTACAGGCAAAGTCAAGATTTGCATATAACTTTAGTTTCCAGTATCTTCGTATTCACTGTCTGTAGGTAACCTCGGCTTGTGTGTACTTCATAGTATCCACTTTGGATCTAGCGCGCCAAGCAATGTGACAATGTAACACTTCCAGGTATTTATTACCTATCCCAGAGATCACATGACTCCCCCTGACAAGGCCTTCATCTGCTTTTCTCTCCAGATGGACATCGCCATGTTTGCTCAGGCATCATCCAGAGTCACCATTTACTCCCTGGACTGAGATGTCAGCTCAGAGGTGACAGTCATGTAAATCCTGGTGCCTGTGCAGTGTGATCTGTGTGGGAGGGGAGACTCAGGAAATGCTCCCTCCTGCCTGCAGAAGACTGATCACTGGGGGGGGGGACTCAGGAAATGCTTTCTCCTGCCTGCAGCAGACTGATCACTGGGGGAGGGGAGATTGCTTCCTCCTGCCTGCAGCAGACTGATCACTGGGGGAAGGGAGACTGAGGAAATGCTTCCTCCTGCCTGCAGAAGACTGATCACTGGGGGAGGGGAGACTGAGGAAATGCTTCCTCCTGGCCGCAGCAGACTGATCACTGGGGGAGGGGAGACTGCAAAACTGCTTTCTCCTGCCTGCAGCAGACTGATCACTGGGGGAGGGGAGACTGAGGAAATGCTTCCTCCTGCCTGCAGCGGACTGAAGACATCATCTCAGCCTGGGCAAAGTCACTGATTGGAGCTCCAGGACGGCTTTTTAATGATAACGTTTGGAGCTGATACTGTCCTTGTATATTGTGACGGGCCGGGAATTTATTCCGGCTGACTTGTAAAGTTACCGACGTGACCACTTTAAGATAATCGAATTCAAATGCGTGCCATTAAAAAGTTGTGCGTTTACAGATCCCGCTGACAGTGATATACAGAGGCGCGCTGGCACACACTTCTCCGCCATTGTGGACGGGACGCTGTAAAGCGGTTCTCTTGTGTTTTTACGAGTGCTGTGACCCTGACCCTGCTGTAAATGAGGAGCCACAATGGGCGCCCGGCGCCCCGGCACCTCCCCGTCACACTTCAGGAGAATTAAGAGGCGACGTTGGGCTGGCGAAGCCATTCAGCGGCACACAACCCTCCGCATCCCGCCGCTCATTCACGCTGTGTGCACAGCAAACAAAGAGGATCTAA